TCTAGTTTCATGATTAAATATATTAAAATGTGCATTACGTCCATGTAGCAAATGCTTGTAAACAGTAAACAGCGGCCTTCTGGTGTTTTTAGCAACAACGGCAGCAAAACATCTACCTTGGTATGATCTTCTTTGGGTGTAATTTACCCTTTTACCACCTACTTTTTGTGCAATCATGGCATTAAACTGCTCCACCAAATTTGTGTCGACATTCTCTAATAAGCTTCTAGAATGCCCAGCCAAGAATCTACATACTTCGTTAATTTTTTCGTCTAGTTTAAAAGTTTTTAAATCAGACATGTAATTGTTCTTATCGGCTTCTGTTTTACTACAAAAATATTTTAATTTATTACAATTTCTGTGCTCCCCAAATATGTGGCTAATACTATTTAAAATGTCTTGACGAAGACATTTAATTTTTTCTTCCTCGGTATTGCTTTGTTCTGTTTTTCTATGTGCAATAGCTTTCGTAACAGCTGTTCTTGCCTTTAAAATATTATTATTAATCACAGTTTTTAAACTTCCCGAAACTCCTCTTGTTTTTGCAATTTCTCTTAATTTATTGCAATAATTGCGCAATAAATGATTCCGGCATTCTATTTTTTGTACTACACATGTTGGATAAGGACGACTATCTATAATTTTTTTTGTAGCAACTACTGTCACCATCCGCTATCATTTTATTATATATAATATTATACATACCAAGACTATTACGAAACCCATCAGCAATTATATTTGCTTCCATGCTAGTAGATGAACCTGAATAATTTTTATAACAAACATGTTCATTTTCCCCACTAAAATCAATCAAGATATTTTTTTTTATTTTACTTCAATACCTATTTCTTAATTTCATAAAATGTCAAAAACTTGATAGAACGTGATTAGATTAACCAAATATCACTGGACTATCGTTTGCCATTAATTAATAATAAAAAAAAAACGCATCAAATTTTAATTTTCTTAACACCCTGTATTTCGAAAACAAAGCGACATTCTAAAAATTGTTATAGTACATTTTTGTCTTAAAATTAGGTGAGAATTCTCCTCCTTTCTTTTGTCAGAGATTAGAAAACACCCTGTATATAAGAAGTTAAGCATAGGATGTATAAAAATACATTATAAAATTAATTAAAAATATATAGGATTTTCTCTAAAACGATACCAGAACAAAGTAATTTTTAAAATTAAAATTTCAACTAATAATATTATAATAGGAATTTATAATTAAATATTTTTTTGAAATTTTCTATTAAAAACACCGATCCGGGTAAATTGTTTTCAAGAAATTACTGGGAATTTTTAATAAACCGTTTTATTGCATTGTAAGTAATACTTTATCTGTGCGTGGAAATACCAATCCAATAACAATTATACCAATCCAATAACAATTATACCAATCCAAAAACAATAACGTTAATGGGATTAATCTCTTAAGACTTAACCCAATGACACTGACAGCGGTAAATTTTTTGAATCTAAGAAACGTTTCCTTAAGTAATTAGGCAAAAATAAAAAATTGTATTTTGTGTTTTAGGTTTTAAATATTATAAAAAATGATGGAAAGTCCATAACTTTTAAATCATTCTAAAATATCCCTTTTTAAAAAAAATATGCATTCAAAGTAAATGATGGACTTTTCATCATTCTTTATAATATTTAGAACCTAAAACGCTTAATAAAGTCTTTTATTTTTTGCTTAATTACTTCAGGAAACGTTTGTTAGATTTAAAAATGTACCGCTGTCACTTGTCTTGAATTAAGTGTTACGAAGGTAAAAACCCGGTGTATGCCAACCCGTAAAAACTAATTTACAAGAAGTGACGCTAAAAAACAAATCTAAAAATTTAAAAGGTCTTTATTTCAAATATATCTATCTCCATATTCTGTTAAAACAATTTCTAATTTGCACAGCATAGTAATACATTTTTTTTTTCGAAAATATGCAATATTTTCTCAAATTTTCTGAACTTTAGTGAAATATGCAATATTTTCTGAACTTTGGTAAAATATGCAAAAAATGCATATATATATATATATATATATATATATATATATATATATATATATATATATATATATATATATATATATATATATATATATATATATATATATATATATATATGCATTCTTCATATATTTCGCTCTTTATTTATTAGCAATGACATGACATTTTTTTTAAATCATTATAACCATATCACGGGGGCTGATAAACACCGAAACACCAAATATGTTAATTTTCGAAAAGTTTGTACGGCAATTTAATTAAAAGTAATATATAGGGTGGGCCCCCAGGAATTGCATCGATCGATATCTCAGTAACTAGATGTAGGAAAAATGTCAAAATTTGGACACTTGCTAGTTGTCTTGGGTCCTATTTAGCTAAAATGTTTGAATGTATTGGGCACCATCGGTTGTACCGCAAATAGATCTTAAGTGGCTTATTTTAAATACGACACCCTGATATTTTTGGAATTACTCAATATTTTAGGCACATTATTTGAATTATGTCTTATACCTAGGTCTAAGCGTTTCTGATATATTAGGGTTATAAAACGTCATTTTTGACACAAAAATTTAAATGTGTCAAAAACGCTAAGACTCGTGGTGTTTTTTACTGGCACTGACACTGAGTGTTTTCTCACTTTCTTCTTTTCCGTATTGATAGACAAAGATACATGTATAATCAGTGTGCATTGCCGGTGCCAGTGAAAAACACCATTAGGTTTATGAAATTTTTTCTACATCTGGTTTCTGAGATATCGATCCACCCTATATATATATACACAAAATGTTTAATACCCATAAGTTTAAAAAGAAATGACCTAAAAGTTTTGTCTACTTACAAAATATGAACCTGGTTATCAACCGAATTAACGACGACATCTTTTGTTAAATACGGAAGACCTGCACGTCTGGCTCTAAAGAAAAAAGATACACATAAAGTAACTGTGACATTTCTGCATTAAATTGTAAATATGTTCTCTTAGAATACAGATATTAATTGGTCGGATTAAAATGCTTTTAAATTTAGTTTCTTTATAATCACAGAGTAAAGCCAAAAATACTTTTAATTTTTTCTCTTTTCGCAATATAGGTTTGTAAACCAAAATAACTCTTAATAAACTAATTCAAAATAAGCGGAAATAAAGTGGTACTCAGATACTTACAAATTATATTTTTCAAGATTTCTATGCTTCTTTCTCTTCGCACTTAAAAAAAGTCCTGTTTTTTTACTTATTCTGAGATCTCTTTCCATATTTTGCTTGTCTTTTTCACTAATTAACACTACAAAAATCACCGTGACAACAATAAAAAACTACCTTCACTTGTGTCTCAAATGCCGTACGTAGATGTACTAAACAACAGCGAACTGAGAGTACATTGTGAGTACATTCAAAACAAGTCAATACTTGAATGGGACACGTGTGTATCTAGGGAGGGGGTACATATGACTTACGGAAAATCGCAGCCTAATTTCTTCTTTCGGGAGAACTCAAATGGTATATTTCAAGTAGCGAGCCAAGTCTGCATTTCAACTAAACGCTATTAACTATTCTAAAAATATCTCGATTTTTGTGATAAAACAATAGGCAAAAATACAATTTGAACGAATTCCACAATAATTACATAAAATCAATTTTGTTTTAGCATCACAAAATAGTATAAAAGGCAATTTCTTTATTAAAAACTAGAATAACTATTTACTATTTATAAATCTGAACTCCGGTCCTGCAACGCCAGCGTGTATCAAGAGAGACAAGGAGGGACACAATAGAACCGAAATGAATGATTGATGCCGGTTAAATTTAAATTTTATGCAGAGGTCGACAATTAATCTAGTATTTTTCTTAAATTTCGACTAATTATGACAAATTTTGTACCAAATAAAAGATAAAGAATAGACTTTACCTCGGGTAATAATAGATTTTTTAATTTTGTCTTAGTTTGTCCTGGATGCATTTTTAAATGTTAACAAAGAAAACCATTTAATTGGAAAATTTCAGACTCGTTTAAGATACTAAAAAAATTCTAATCTAATTTTTTATTACTACTCAAGGAAAGACCTGACCTTTTGCATATTGGAGGTTTTTAATTGACAATGATATCTTATACAGTTTTCGAGAAAACAGATTAATCAGGCACCTATGCAGGATAGGGCGATTAACCAAGCGGTAGCCGACTCTTAAAACTGCTTTTGTCTACTCATCGAAATATTAGAAGAATATCTTGTGTCAGCGAAAAACGCACCATACCTAAGAACACTACAGGGAGCGTCTAGCAAATCTAGGTGTATAGGTAAGGTGCAATGTACCTAACTACCTATATGTAATAAATACCTATTGGTATTTGTAAACTATACAAATTATAATAGGAAACGGAATACCTAATTAAATTTTTTAATATACTCATTTTTTAATACCTAACTGCCTAGGTACCTATCTTACCTCTATACCTATTGAACATTTTTAGGTCACCCTATATGCTTACACGCTTTATTTACATCTCGACTCTCGTCTCACGCGTTGCAATCGTTATCAGATGAAGACTGCATTATTGTTGTTCTGTTCTGTTCTGTTCTACACACCAAGCGAATAAACTTCAAATAAACATAAAATTATAAATAGCAAAACCACAAAATTAAACAATGAACTTATGCAACACAAAAGTCACACCGAGTCACACAAATGATTCAAAACCATGTGCAAGTTAAAAATTACCCTATTACCTTTTACAAAAAAGAAATTATCTCAAAAATAGTAGGAAAAAGCTTCAGTGCTTAAATATATTTCTATATATTTCTATTGGTACAAAAAAAGAATAAGGGACCTATTTGAATGAAGTTCCATGTAATTTTCAGAAATTATGACAAGTGGAAGAGTGTGAAGTTAGTTTCAACGTACGTCAGGCTGCCGGATTAATGAGAGCGAGAGAAATACCGAATATTGTTTGTGTCGAATTTGACGTACAGATGCTATTCGTTTTAGTTCAGTTGCGCTTTGGATAGCGCTTTGTGTAGACGTGGAGTGTAGGATTTCGCATAAAATACGCCAAATATTTACGTACATTTAGTGAAAAACACGTGAAAATGTCGGTAAATCCTCCTTCAAGTAAAAGACAACCGCCCAGACAGCTGGTAAGTACTAAAGCTGACGCCATAACTGTTGCTACAAAACTCACGTAAGACACTATTCATTCATTTTATTTGGTCGCCATACCTTGTAGACGGCTTTTATCTTTAGAAAAGCCCACTAGGATTTAACACTGCATTAAGTATTTTTCTTTTGCTAATATATTCTTTTATTATTTATGATATGTGATATTAAAGTAGTTAAAATGATCTAATAAACTGAGACCCAGATGTCAAGTCAATTTACGGGGTGCTTGAACTAGTTCTATCCAATACTTAGGGGTCATCCAAGAATAACATTTTTATGCAGGTAGAAATCGTTTACAAAGGAATACAATAATAAAACGGATGGTAAACAAATAGTTATCTACACCTAGAAAAATAAGTATTTTTGTTCTGATTATTAATATGGCGTAAAAATGTACTTAATAGGTAGGAATGATTCTTAAATGCAGTTTACTTTTTAATAAGTTTCAGTCTTATCTTTCAGTTGTAGTGATAAGAGTTCTTTTCTCAAATGTAAGATGGTTATTTTTAGGCTAGATAGGTACCTACAGGCTTTTACATTTCTTTCACATTATTATAATTTAAAATGTTTATTATCTACCGGATAGGTAATTTTGAATTTTATGGATTATCTAAATATGTTTTAAATAGGGATATAAACGATTTATAGCCTATTTAAAAATGTTCAAAATATAAATAAGGTTTACGGTTTAAAATATCTAAGCAGAAAGTTTTGCCTAGGTACCCACCTATCTAATAAAGTACCTAGTAGTAGTAGTAGTAGTACCTTTAGTTTATTATCACGTGACATCAACTTAATTTTAGGTATGTAATTTCTAATAAAGTAGGGTAGTTACATAGACTTTTGTTAATGAAATAACTAAATGGGCTCATCATTGTTTACATTACTTTACGTCCTCCCTCATTAATCAAAAACTAACTAAGTAGGTATAAATAGGTCCAGGTAGAAAATACTAACTACTACTGGACACTGTCCGTACCCGAATTATCGCCTAGGTCTTACATTAAATATTAAAATCCTAATATTTTATCGACATGGCCGTCCATTTTTTTCGTAACTTTAATTTTGCTTTATGCCCCCAACCCTCAAAAACTCCCCCATTTCAAATCGCACCTCAATGGTTGGTCTATTTCCTTACCACCCAACTCCATTTTCATGCACGTTTAGGTAGAGTTATATTATGTTAGGGTAAATGAACTAAGAATAAAGTAAATGAAGTTTTAAATTATCGAAAAAAAATATTTGAAAATTGTATTCTAGTCAGTGGCGCTTGTGACCAAAATGTCGAGAGTTCACAATGACAGAATATAGATCTGAGTACTGAGGTAGATAAAACATTTTTTAAAAGGGTCCTATACTTACGCTACAATTTTTGTGAGTTTTGAACTGTACAGTCCATCGATTCAGTCCATAACTCAACGTGAAGTGCTCGATCTGACTCACATCTGGCCTTTCCTCTTTTGTCTAATGTGCAGATGAAGAGTGAAATGAGCTGATTAAATCTTGCCTTTAGATCAGAATAATTGTGCGTTTTGGCCTGCAGGCCATATCGGAGAGTGTAGGGCCTTCATTAGAAAGGTATATTAAGTATAACCTTTCTAAAACACAAATAAACAATTAGGATTCCTGATTATTTTTTAAACGAATTTATTCATTTTCAATAAATATATCTCCACAATAGTATCATTGACATTTATTTGTGAGCAACGAATGATATACATTTTTGTATTCAATGTATCTAAACGTTAGTTGAATTTTAAAATCTATGAAAATACTAAAGAAAATACATTATTTTATGGTACCTATTAAAGGTTATTTAACAAATATCTTCCTCAACATAAAACAAATTTAGACCTAATTATTAATAATAATTTTACGAATCTTTTACAATAAACCAACCAGTTTCATGACGATTCAACTCAAATTTTCATTTTAAGAAAGTGAACTAAAGCTAAAAGCGAGGTTGACAGCTAGGCAGTTATAGTTTTTACTTACCTGTTTGCATAGGTACAGATAAGAAACGTATAAGACTTCGAGTTTTCGACATATTTTTACGTTTCGGAGTCCCCTAAATCCGTTTTGACTATTTTCGCAATGATGTCTGTATGTGTCTGTATATTGGATAACTCATGAACGGATAAAGAGAAAAACACAAAATTTTAAACTTAAGCTTTAATCCATCCTACGGTGAGCTGATTACATTTTGGGCATAGTCAGAACATCTAGGGGGTACTTTATAGGGAATCATTTTTCTACTTTATGGAATATATCTGTTATTTACGCTTGGAGAAGAACATTCTTTAAATAAAAATTGCTTGTGATGTCATTCTCTATAATTTTTGTCCCATACACGATTTCCCTAAAATAGACCATATTCGAGATATTTGAGGAAAAGTGCAAATTTCGAATTTTGAAGATAACTCAAAAACGGACAAAGAGAAAAACACCAAATTTTAAACTTAAGCTTTAATTCCGCCTATAATAACTAGACAGGAAAGTCTTGTGTTGGAAACATCAGATTTTTTTTAAAGCCTTTTAATAAGGTCCTTAAGAATATTGTTAATACTTAATAGTGTTTGGAATACAATTTTTAAACTGAATATAGGCCTTTTTGTTCAACATATATTTTTTTTGAGGCCACAGTACAACATATGGAGCGGTTGTTTGGTGGCCAAAAGTAAAGTAGAAACAATTCTCAATACCCTTTCAGGAGCACTGAGAAGTACACCTACAGCCTCTTTTATAATAATTCTAAACCTCCCACCCCTTGACCTAGTCTTAATGGGGGTGGCCTGAATGAGTGCATACAGGCTGGATCGGCTGGATATCCCCAACAACTTTAAAACACCAGAATAACAAATGAGGTTGATTATCCCATATTAACTATGGGATCAGACTTTCAACAGACAGGTTGACTGCAAGTGGATCGAAGTAAAATAGGAAGTAGAGAAATACTTGCTTATCAAAAACTATAAACCATAAGATAGTGACTGATTTAGGTGCCCCATTTTCGCATACAAACCTCGAAGAGGGTTAAAAAGTACATCGATTTTGAGTAGAATGAAAGGACATTTACAAGTGGCTCCTGGGGATAACATATGGAAGATTCGATTTTTCTTAACAGAAATTAAAAGGTATTGGTTACCCATATTTTTACACAAGCCGTGTTCACTAAATTATTAACTAATATCGGAAAATCAAAGGCTTTAATGTTGCAAGTGGCTAAAGGGTTGAAATGAGGGCGTAATCTTGTAAGGAAAAATTGAGATTTGAATAAAAACGTACATCGTCACTAGTCCGAAAAAGATATTGGCTTGAATGACCCGAATGGGTAAGTGCATTTTGGGGTCTAAAAATATTTCTGTTGAGGAAAATTTAATTGTTTTTTCTTTATAGGTTTTTGAATTTTCTTCAAAATTCGAAATTTACACATTTTTTCAAATATCCCGAATACGGTCCATTTTACAGAAATTATGTATACATCAAGAATTATAGAAAATAACATAAACAATTTTTATTAAAACAATTTTCTTAAAAATTAGGATTTTTTACATTTTCTAAAATATCTCGAATACGGACCATTTTAGGAAAATTTTGTATGGGACAAAAATTATAGAGAATAATATAAAAAGTAACTTGTTTGAACAATTTTCTTCTCCAAGCGTAAATAACATATTCCATAAAAAATAAAAACGACCCCCTATAAAATACCCCCAGATGTTCCGACTCCAAAATCTAATCAGTTCACCGCAGGTCGGAATAAAAAAGTTTAAAATTTGGTGTTTTTCTCTGTATCCGTTCATGAGTTATCGAGTATACAGACACACACACAGACATCAACGTCATCGCAAAAATAGTCGAAACGGATTCAGGGGACCCAAAACGTAAAGAAAGATCCGTATAAAACTCGAGATCGAAAAAATCATGATTCATGTACTTTCCTTATCTGTATACGGAAAAATGTTTCTATTTAAATTTGATATACATATTATGGATTATGGACTACTATTTTACAATAGCAACAAAATATCGCCAGCAGTATTAAAAGGTAAATCCAAAATTAAACAGTCTGTTTAGATAGGAGAGCCGCTTTACTTTTGCGGCCTGGGGCCCTAATAGGAGTTTATGATACAAGGACGAAAAGTTGAGTTTTTCGGGCGACTACGAGCCTGGCAACTCGTAGGAGTCCGAAAAACACTTTTCGTCCGTGTTTCGTACATTATTTTTTATTCGAATGTGTTTAGATATTAAAAAAATATATAGAAAATTAAATCTGAAATGATATTATTTCCAATAATTTTTCCTTAACTGAGTTTGCTATGAGAACAATTGAACAATTTCTGTCATGTAAATGTGCTTATGTCAAATTAATTTAATTACCTAGTGCAGTGTTTCTCAAACTTTTTTGGCGACGTAACCGTTTTGCATTATTTGGCGGAGCCCTGCCGGGGCATTTCTAAAAAAAAAAAAACAAAAAAGGTCCTCAAGCAAAATCAGATCCTTAGTGAAATCTAAAAAAAAGGTCCTCACAATGACGCCAAATTTGCTGCGTCTCTAATTTCTGGGGACGTGCCCATAATGAATTCTTCGGATTTTTTTGGATTTTTTTTACACCAATTTTTAATAAACTAGGTAATTAATTTGACATGAGCAAAGTGACACGACAGAAATTGTTCAATTGTTCTCATAGCCAACTCAGTTAAAGAAAAATTATTGGAAATAATATCATTTCAGATTTAATTTTATAAAAATATATATTTTTTAATATTTAAGCACATTCGAATAAAAAACATTGTATGAAACACGGACGAAAAGTGTTTTTTTCGTCCTTGTAACATAAACAACTATTGTTGTAAAACATATTAAAGGTAGAATCAAATAATAAACAAATACAGATTATGGAGAAATCAGTATTGTCGAATTTATTTTAGAAATGTAGCTCTTTGTTGCGGTATAATACCGAATTGGAACTTTTCTA